TGCCGTCGGTGTGTGTGCTCTTCGTTGACCTGAATTGGGACGACTTGTATTGGAATCAAAAGCGGACCGAATGTGTGGCCAAAGTTGAACACTTGCGCCGATTACTGGGCACTAGGAATACGAGAATCACTTTGGTTTTGATCCAATCGTCCACATCTTTACCATCTGGTGAGCCATCCGTCTCCTCCCTCTCTTCATCTCTCACTCATTCACTAATTGTTAAAACAGATGACTCTTTGGTGACGGAGAGGGCGGCCCTTCTCTGCAGTTCCTGTGATTTGAACGCAAAATCACTGTTTGTTTTGCCAGTCAGTGATGTCTCGCAACTCATGGGATATATATTGAGGTAACGATTGATTTGATTTATAAATTTAAATGAGTTTTGTATTCAATAAATGATTGATAGAATGGAAACGGCTTTATATGAGTTGTCGAAAGCCTATTATCAACACGAATGCAAACTAATCAAAGGACATAGGGATCAGCTCAACCACACCACTCATCAGCTCCTATATGTCAGACATCAGTTCAAAATAGGATTTTTTAGTGAACTAAAACAGGACCCAAACACTGCCCTCAAGTTAGTCAATCATACAATTGTCTCATCACTTGATATATTTTGTTTCTAACGTATTGTTTATTTTTTCAAATGGACAGACACTACAAGAACTCGTACACGAATCTAATGGAAGTTCGCGTAACGTTAATCAACTTATATGAGATCAAAACGATCGGCGCTTTCATTAATTACAAGATTTGCAAATTGTGTTTCCAATTGAATACACCGTTGGACGCCATCTCTCAGTTCCGTAAACACATTGACATTTTCAAAGGCAAATGTGAGCCCAAAGAGATCGAGTTCGAGCACTCGGCCTGGCTTTCCAAACAGTACGCGCTTTTCGCCGGCCTGTTTGACGCGGCCATCACTGCCGGTCTCATACCATCGCAAATGCAGAATCCGGGCTATTATTACTTAGAGGCCGCCCTTCAAGCCATGCAACGCCGCAAACTCTGTCTCTCTGTTT